CACAGTCCATCTCACTACCTGATCATCCAGATCACACTTCCCCAGTTTAGCTGTGTGGGACACGGTGTCAAATGCTTTGCTGAAATCAAGACAGACCACATCCACTGCTCTACCACCATCATCTATCCACAATTAATTACATTTGTTTCTCTAGATTCACGACTTAAAGCAGTGTATGTAAATATACCTTCAATCTAGGGTCATTTTCTGTTAATTAGCTCGTAAGTGAACGACTCAGTTATATACTATTGAGATTTTCTGTTTTTAAAGAACAAACCTGAACATTTACAGATATAATAGCTCATTCTGCCAACACCTTCCCTTCCCCTAGAACAGTACAAGTAAGCCAAAAAATTTCAGGCAAGCACATTTGCCAAAGAAAAGCTGTGAGAATCTACAATACACCCCTAATCAGAGCATGAATTTACTCATCGTGGAAGCATAAAATTGAATTAGCTAGAAGAGTCCAGTTTCCAGCACTTGTTATTGTAAGAGTATTGAATATACTTTGCTACACAGACTCACATTCTCAACTTGATAAAGAAATAACATGTTCCAAGTATCACAGCGCAGACCTCAACAAATACCTCCTTCTTGCTCCTCAGAGAGAGTGTAAGTTTCCAGCTTGACTATGCTTTCCTATGAAAAAGCTGACACATGCACATTTACATTCAAAGACTTTATTCAAAGAAACATTCAACGTGAATGCAGATCTGAAATCCTGCTGCTCTTACTCCTCAAAACTCTTCAGATTAATCATTCTCCCTGAGCTACAAAATTCCCATAAAGCTGACTTGCAACAGCAAGCACCTGCTAGAAAACATCTCTTATGTACAAGGACTGCATGTTTAGCCCGATGTCTTCAACGTAAAGGCCATTGCACTTAGGAGGGTTAGGTAACAAACTCTTCTTGTCAGCTCTGCAAACATCAGGACTGACCTAGGGCAGAATACCATAGTTAAAAGAGCTCGGATTGAATGTCCTCTAAATTGACCCTGAGTGGCAATTCCTGCCAGAAAAATAACAGTAAGGTACTCATGAAGACAGCCTCCTGATAGAGTTCTTAAAATATTATTTGACCTAAAGCCAAAAAAAAATTCCAAATGCTATCTCAACAGTTGCCCCAAATCTTAACATTTACTTTTCATGCATTTCAAAAAGTTTCTTAAAGCTTCACTTCTGATCATCTTAATAACTTTTACTCCTTTATAAAGCTAATTCTTTTATACGCTCTGAGTAATGACCAAAGCAAGCACAGGCAGTGACTCTGCAGTGAGTTCTGGTGTCTTCTCCATTCAGAATTCATCTTTAGTGATTAAGAGGCAACCAGAATTGTATATACTGTACTTC